CCTGATAGCTCTCCTAATAATCCTAAGTGACTTAATTGTCTGTGTGGAAGACAGCAAACATTATGTCTTATAGTTTTTTTAAACTTCCTGAGATCCAGTGACCTTCATTTCCAAGCTACTTTGTATATTTAACTTCCATGGCCACAGCTGAGACCTTCTCAAGTCCTAAGTCTCATAATCTTCCCATTCTTTCGTTTCCCTCCTTTCACTGCAGTTGTTCCTCACCATCTTCCCTATGTAATATTTCTTGATACTGCCATATTTTCCTAGCCCCTTCTCAGCATCTTTTACTTTTTTTTACATAATTTGGACATTTGAGCTGTTGTTCTCAGTAGCATATTCTGTTCCTTCTTTTACCCACACCCTTTCACTGACTCAACCAGCAAAACTCAGCTTTATGTGTAATCAGTGCAACCCTCTCTGCTGGTCTGACAAGGGGAATTGAGGTGAGCACTGCTGAAGGCAGCCACAATACCTCATAGAATGCTGTACCACAAACTCAGGCTCCCAACCTGTGCTGGGCCTTTCTTTGTGTCTGCTCATCTTTAAATGCTGTCCTCTCGTCTTCTTCACTAGCAATTCCTAATCTATACTTGCTTTCTCAAACACCTCACTGTCCTCTACCCCTGTATCTGAAAATCTTGTGATCATCAGACTTTGTCTTCCTTAATATTCATCCTCAAATGCCTTTCCTTTGATTGCAAGGGGTGTCGTGTTACTCATATCCATCCTCCGGTACTGATGACTATATCTCCTCCCAGCCTCTTTAGGATATTGCTTCATCAGTCACTTTCTCTATTTGGTATTTTCAACTTATCCCTCTCTCCAACCCCCTTTGCTCAGCTTAAACATCTATTCTTATCTCCTTTCTTACGAAAAACAATATCCTCCCTTAAGCCTATGTACTGCTTCGGTTACCATTTGTATCTACTTTCCAATCAAATTTTTTGAAAAGTAGTCTACACATTTTTTGCTTATTTCTGTATGTGTAGTTTTCTCTTTAGCCCATCACAGCCTGCTTTCTCTACCGTTGCTGAAACTGCTCACTAAGGCATCAATGACTGCTTCATTTTCAAGCTCCATACATGTTTTCAACCCTTTTCTTAATGGGTCTCTCTTTTCTTCTGACAGTGTTGGTTCTTTGTTAGTTATTCTCTGCTCCCTTGAAACCTTTATTCCTTGCCTCTGTGGCATTGCTCTTGCTGGGATCTCCTGATGCCTCATTCCTTATTCTCTAGCTCTTGTGTTTGTTGTTTTACCTTTATAGGTCCCTTAAGTGCTGCTGCTCCGAAGTTTCTTTCTCAAACCACCTCTCTTTTCACTATGCACAGAGGTTCCTAACTTTTTGGTTAAGACTCCTCAAGCAATCTGTTGAAAATTCTGGAATCTTTCCTTTTCAAAATATAGGTAGGTGTATACACACAAAATTTAGTGTAAAATTTCATAATGCGCCAGAAGCCATATTAAGAATCTGCCATATGCATTCTAGTTTGCAATGTTTACTCTCGTTGTTTCATTTGTCTCTTTTAAACAAATGAATTCCAGATCTTTTAAGTTCATCTTGGCTTCCCTCCTTAATTTAAGATACATATTCTTTCTGAAGGGCTTCTTCCCCCATGGTGGCTCAGTGGTAGAGAATCCGCTTGCAGTGCAGGAGATATGGAGATGCAGGTTCGATCCCTAGGTCAGGAAGATCCCCTGGAGGAGGACTGGCAACCCACTCCAATAATCTTGCCCAGAAAGTCCCATAGACAGAGGAGCCTGGAGGGCTACAGTCCAATAGGGTCACAAGAGAGTCAGACAGGACTCAGCAACTAAAACAACAGCAATTCTTTCTGCTCCCTTTCATTGCCTGGGTTTAGCGCCTCATGACCTTTCATAGACCACTGTAACAGCTTCTAACTCTCCTCCCTGCCCTCAAGCTGTGACCTTTAGATACGTACTCCATGGAATGTGAAAGTGAAAGTCGCTCAGTCATCCAGCTCTTTGCAACCCTATGGACTATACAGTCTATGGAATTCTCTAGGCCAGAATACTGGAATGGGTAGCCTTTACCGTCTCCAGGGGATCTTCCCAACTAAGGGATCAATCCCAGGTCTCCCAAATTGCAGGCGAATTCTTTACCAGCTGAGCCACAAGGAAAGCCCAACCACCGATAATTTACTGTTCTGATTTTTCAGCTCCAACTTCTGATTCTCTGTTTCCTATGGAAATGGTTCAAACTCTGGCATGGTACACAAGCCTCCTGTCAGGAAGTTCATTACTATTCTATCTAGTATCTTTGAGACCTTTCCCATCCATTTCTGCTCTACTAGTTGGAGAAGGAAATGGCAACCCTCTCCAGTGTTCTTGCCTGGAGAATTCCAGGGATGGGGGAGCCTGGTGGGCTGCTGTCTCTGGGGTTGCACAGAGTCCGAGACGACTGAAGCGACTTAGCAGCAGCAGCAGCAGTGAGGGCAGACAGATTAACTTGCATAGGATTTGACTATCTCTACCTTCCCTTACTCTCTGCCTATCTCTTTAAAACAAAATATTTTTTTTTATTTGGTTATGCTGGGTCTGAGTTGTGATATGCAGGATCTTTTTTCAGTTGCAACATGTAGGATCTAGTTTCCTGACCAGGATTCAAACCCAGGCCCCTTGCTTTGGGAGTGCAGAGTCTTAGCCACTGGACCACCAGGGAAGTCCCTCTTTGTATATTTACCTTATCATGTTGGTGGCATCAAACTTGCAGTTCTTTATACCCTTACTTACCTTGGTTCACACCATCCTCCCTGCGTGGACCACTGTTCCAATCCCTGCATTCACTCACTGACAGTTACCCTGCAAAAACTCCTACATACCTTACAGATTCAACTCCACTCCCACCCCACACTTTCCCACACCTTCCCCTCTTTGTTAGGGACTCTTCCTGTGCCCACCATAATCTGTGCATTGCTCCATTGTATACTTTAACTTGAAGTCCTTTTTTCAGTGCTGTCAGAATTGAGAGGTGAGCTCTTAATTGAAAGATTTGGTTAAAGATAGAATTAGAAAAATTATGTACCTAAAACATTTTATTTCAACTTAAAACATATAAATATATTCATTTGCCAGTTTTCCCATGTATTACCAAGGCGTTTTCTTTGAGTATGGGTACTTGATTGGAATTCATTGTTCATTCTTAATTATACCAAATGTGGAATGCATCCTCCAAATTTCTAGTTTGGGTTTAAAAGAAAGAACATAAGCCACTTGAGCAACAGTCTGAGTGAAGAATCCTTGGTTTGTATGATTTTTTTCCCCTCAGCCAATCTTTTCAGTTGTATTGCCTATAACTAGTTCAGTAGTATATATTTTCATATAAAGACTTGCCTTTATAGTCTTTGCAAGTCTTTATAAAGTCTACATCATAGAAATAACAGTTATCTTTTTTAACTTACCTTTTAATGATTTGGTTTGTGTTGTATTAAAGTATGTATTTATGATACATGAATGTGGTTTGTGAATTTACACTCAACTGATAGGAGTAGAGATGTTTCATAATAAGCATGCTATAGTCACTGTTTTATAGAGGGAGTAGACATTGTGTCATTTAATCTGGCAAGTTGAGTGGTGCTTGGTTAAGAGTTTCTACTGTAATTATTGTTACTGGTTATCTCCCTTCATTGCAAGATAAGTTCTTACAGGGCAAGGATTATATATGTTTTCATTTTTTGTGTATCTAACCTTTGTCTATGCATGGTGCCTACTACTTAGTAGAAATTCAATATGTATTTATTGGTATATGAACAAATTCTTATGTAGGTCATAGTAAATTTGAATAATCAGAAAGAACACTGTACTGGGAATCAGTAGTATAGATAGATCTTTGGCCCTAGAGTGGAACTGGGGTTTGAAGTTTTCTTCATTTGTATCTTTGAGTTTTCCTCATTTATATTCTTCAGATTCCCTGGTGGCTCAGTGGTAAAGAATCCGCCTGCCAATGCAGGAGATGCAGGTTCGATCCCTGGTTCTGGAAGATCCCCTGGAAAGGGAAGTGGCAACCCACTCCAGTATTCTTGCCTGGGAAATACCATAGACAGGGTACCCTTGTGGGCGATAGTCTGTGGGCTTGCCAGAGTTAGATGTGACTGACCTACTAAACAACAACTACATTCTTGGACAGATTACTTTCCCTTTTTCTTTTGAGGATTGAGGATAGCAACAGCCATTGGGTTGTGAGAGGATTAAGTGGGAATGTGAAGTGTCCAGCATAAGTACCTGACATAGTAAGCAGTTACCAAGTGCTGATTGTCTGATGATGCTTATCACTAACGAAGAGAATGTGGGCATTCACTTGGTCCAACTTTTCTCATCAAGAGACTTGAACTATATAATCTGTGAGTTTCCTTTTAGATGCTCTAAAGTTTTCTTTCTATAAACAGTATTTCATGTTTTGGACAGATTTATGTAACAAATATATGGATAATCCTTGATTTGTCACATTTGCTGACTCAATAAAGTAGATAATTAATTAGGTGATCATAACCTTACACCTTGTGAAACAGTTACTTTAGGCTTTGTAACATTTATTTGTTAGTGAGTTGAACTTGAATAAAGTGGGAAGAACGGCCCAGCTCCACTAATCACTGTCATGCTGTTTATATAAGAGCTAAGGTAAGAGATAGAGAAGGAAGTCTGAGGAGGTTGTTTGGAAGCATTAAGCATTAGAAGGGAGATAATATAAACTCTTGAAACTAAATTTATGGACAAACTAGACTTTTTGAACCATAGATATGTATTTTTTGCGATTAAAAAACTAGGTTTTGAGTTTTCATGTTGATCACATTTTCTTCCTGATTAAAAGATGGAGATAGGGAGAGAAAGATGGAAACAAAACACTTTTTTTTTTTGGAATGGCTCTGGGGTTATTTTCCAGTGTACATGCCAAATTTTGGTTTGTTTAAAGAAATACATGAATTAGCAGAATTCAGTATTCATTCCACAGCTGATGTTAATACTTAGTTTTTATATTTCAGTTCTCATTTAGTATGGAAGAAGATGAGTTCTTTGGAGAAAAAACATTCCAGCATTATTGTGCAGAATTCATTAAACATTCACAGAAGATAGGTGATGGTTGGGAATGGAGAGCTTCAAAGGTAAGAATTTCATTTTCTATTTCGATGGAGGTTTTTATTTTTCCCTACTTAAAACCTCAGTAATTGAAAGTAATGTATGAAAGCTAGTTTGATTTAGTAAAAGACTTAAATTGAAAAATGTTTTAAAACAGATGTCCATTTTATTACTTTAGCTTTATATACCCATTATAATTAGGCTAATGAAGTATTATCTAGAAAAGTCCTTAGGTGACCTGCTTTAATTTAGTAGATAAGAGTGCTTAGCATATTAATTATCTAAATGTAAACAGATGCTTCTGTGGTGCTTCAAACCATTTGTTTATACTATTAATTTTCTTAGGAAACTACTTTTGTCCAGAGAGTGAAAAGATAATCCAGACATCAAACCATGGTCAAATAATCACAACTTCTGAATTATAGAGGACTGTTCAGTTCAGTTGTTCAGTCGTGTCCGACTCTTTGTGACCCCATGGACTGTAGCACGCCAGGCTTCCTGGTCCATCACCAACTCCCGGAGCTTACTCAAATTCATGTCCATCGAGTCAGTGATGCCATCCAACTATCTCATCTTCTGTCGTCCCTTTCTCCTCCTGCTTCAATCTTTCCCAGCATCAGTGAATCTGTTCTTTGCATCAGGTGGGCAACGTATTGGAGTTTCAGCTTCAGCGTCAGTCCTTCCAATGAATATTCAAGACTGATTTCCTTTAGGATTGACTAGTTTGATCTCCTTGCAGTCCAAGGGACTCTCAGGAGTCTTCTCCAATACTATAGTTCAAAACCATCAGTTCTTTGGTGCTCAGCTTTCTTTATAGTCCAACTCTCAAATCCATACATGACCACTGGAAAAACCATAGCTTTGGAAGACTATATCTTTGGGAATTTCTTAATATAAACACATTCCAAAACATTCTTTCTTTTGGTTCTGTTCAGTAATATTAATAGTAACGTAAAAAGTCTGTACACTCATTTATTTCCACACATGTATTTAGTAAGATTCTCTGCCAAAAGCTCTTTAAGAGGTCTTTGAAATCCCTGTTTTAGAGAATAAGTAAGTTTTTTCTACTTGATGTTTTATCTGATTTGTGAAAAAGTGGTGAAATCTTGTGTCTCTGTTGATTAGCTCTGTTTCCTGTATGAAATCTGAGAAATGTGAACATTTTTGAGCTGATTCTTATGATTCAGAACTAGAGGCCAGGGAAATGCAGGTCTTGATCAGGTTCAGATTGTCACTGGGGAGAGAAGCCATGATTTCCTCTTGGGTCGTATGTTAGCTAAGCTTTGGCAGGGAGTTCATGTCAGGGTTCAGAGGTGTAGAGTCAATTTCTTGTGGTAGATTCCAGCCCTACTCTCTAAGTTAGTGATGGGACAGTTCATAAACCCTTAAGGTGTCTCTTGATCTAGGATAATATGATCTTAATAGCACCTTTTATTATTTTTGGTGCTGAGTATTTTATAACTTTGCTTTCTGTTATGTTTGAATTTCTAATCTATTTCTTCTATGATTTTTATCAACATATAAAGGAACTACTAATTTTTATATATTACTTTTGTAACCATTCATCTTAATAAATTCTCCTTCTAATTTTCATAATTTTTCAGTAATTTCTGTTGTGTATTCTAAGTAGAATGAGGCTATCTACAAATGGGGAGTTTTTTATTGCCTTCTTTGTAATATTTTTCCCTATTATTTTTATGAATTGAGTAGAAAACTGTTAATAGTAATAACAGATCTCTTTGTCTTCTTCCTGATTTTAATGTTAATGCTTCTGATACAAAATGGTTAAAATGTTGGTTGTTTATTCATTGGATGAGAATAGGTTTCTGACCCATTTTGTCCTGTAATAATTTGTGTGATTATACTTTGGGAACTTTGCCTTTTCACCAGGTTAAAAAAAAAAAGCCAGGCTTCCTGGTCCATCACCAACTCCCGGAGCTTACTCAAATTCATGTCCATCGAGTCAGTGATGCCATCCAACTATCTCATCTTCTGTCGTCCCTTTCTCCTCCTGCTTCAATCTTTCCCAGCATCAGTGAATCTGTTCTTTGCATCAGGTGGGCAACGTATTGGAGTTTCAGCTTCAGCGTCAGTCCTTCCAATGAATATTCAAGACTGATTTCCTTTAGGATTGACTAGTTTGATCTCCTTGCAGTCCAAGGGACTCTCAGGAGTCTTCTCCAATACTATAGTTCAAAACCATCAGTTCTTTGGTGCTCAGCTTTCTTTATAGTCCAACTCTCAAATCCATACATGACCACTGGAAAAACCATAGCTTTGGAAGACTATATCTTTGGGAATTTCTTAATATAAACACATTCCAAAACATTCTTTCTTTTGGTTCTGTTCAGTAATATTAATAGTAACGTAAAAAGTCTGTACACTCATTTATTTCCACACATGTATTTAGTAAGATTCTCTGCCAAAAGCTCTTTAAGAGGTCTTTGAAATCCCTGTTTTAGAGAATAAGTAAGTTTTTTCTACTTGATGTTTTATCTGATTTGTGAAAAAGTGGTGAAATCTTGTGTCTCTGTTGATTAGCTCTGTTTCCTGTATGAAATCTGAGAAATGTGAACATTTTTGAGCTGATTCTTATGATTCAGAACTAGAGGCCAGGGAAATGCAGGTCTTGATTAGGTTCAGATTGTCACCGGGGAGAGAAGCCATGATTTCCTCTTGGGTCGTATGTTAGCTAAGCTTTGGCAGGGAGTTCATGTCAGGGTTCAGAGGTGTAGAGTCAATTTCTTGTGGTAGATTCCAGCCCTACTCTCTAAGTTAGTGATGGGACAGTTCATAAACCCTTAAGGTGTCTCTTGATCTAGGATAATATGATCTTAATAGCACCTTTTATTATTTTTGGTGCTGAGTATTTTATAACTTTGCTTTCTGTTATGTTTGAATTTCTAATCTATTTCTTCTATGATTTTTATCAACATATAAAGGAACTACTAATTTTTATATATTACTTTTGTAACCATTCATCTTAATAAATTCTCCTTCTAATTTTCATAATTTTTCAGTAATTTCTGTTGTGTATTCTAAGTAGAATGAGGCTATCTACAAATGGGGAGTTTTTTATTGCCTTCTTTGTAATATTTTTCCCTATTATTTTTATGAATTGAGTAGAAAACTGTTAATAGTAATAACAGATCTCTTTGTCTTCTTCCTGATTTTAATGTTAATGCTTCTGATACAAAATGGTTAAAATGTTGGTTGTTTATTCATTGGATGAGAATAGGTTTCTGACCCATTTTGTCCTGTAATAATTTGTGTGATTATACTTTGGGAACTTTGCCTTTTCACCAGGTTAAAAAAAAAAAGAATTTTTTCTTTTATCTTAAGGTGGAGGCTGAATAATAGATTCCTGTACCATTTCAGGGGCCTAGTAGAGTTGGGGAGGGGAAGGTTAGAGAGGAAGTTGGGTGTGTGTGTGTGTGTGTGTGTGTGTGTGTGTATCTGTATGTGTTTGTGTGTGTAGGGGGGCGTTGGGGAAGATCTCTGGGGCGGGGGGGATTATATGTCAGAAGTTTCTTCACTGAATTTGTTGAAAGTAGTGCCATAAGGGCCAGTTTCCAGGATTTGTTTTTATTCTTGGCCTTCCTTGCCTCTACTTCAAGGATGGGTATGGCTAAGTCTAGTTTTTTGTTTGCTGCCACTTCCTGCTGAGTTAGAAAAGCTGCCTACCCTTTGGAGTGAGAATTATGCGTCTAATTAAGGACTATTCTCTTTAATGTGGGCATGAGCCTATAGATAGTATCAAAAAAACCCAAAAACATTCATCAGAGAAAATCTTTACAGCCTTAGGGTAAGGATTGCAAACTCAAGAGTCTGTGAAGACCTGGTGGGGTAATGTAGCTGGGTCAAGCTGCTAGGGACAAGATAGTGTGGACACTGAATCGGGGCCTATGGCTGACAGGTTAGAAACGTGGGCCCAGGAGTTTACCAAATCTTCCAAGAGAAGTAAAGAAGATGCAGGGTAATATCTAAAATTTTAAATGTTGGCAACTAATTTAAAAAGATACTTTTCAAAGACAGTGAGGACTGAACCCACATGCCACGGCTCTTTGTGGCCAGTGGGTGACTTCTGGGATTGGGTGTCTGCCTGGTGTTGACTGGTTTTTCACCTTGCCTCAATGCATGCTGTTGATCTGAATTAGGATAAAGGACTCCAGGCAAAGAGATCCTTCTCTACTGTATTTTAGAATGTTAGTATTTTTGCTACTTAATTTCTGCAGTCTTATACCCCATTTAAGAAGGAAATTGTGAATCAGTTACTTCGTTACCTCCTTTAAACCTTCCATCCTTATTACATCTCAGGCTTTGTGGAACTGTTTGGAAACAATACTTAAACTTTTACTTTTTAGGCTCCAGAAATTAATTTTTGTATTAAAAATAGTTTTATTGGTATACAATTGACAAACAATATACTGCACATATTTAAAGTGTATAATTTGATAAATTTTGACATATGTACAGACCTTGAACCTTCACCGCAATCATGAGAGTGAGCATATCTATCATCCCCAAAAGGTTTCTTATATAACTTTTTAGTGCCTCTCTCTGCCCCTTCTTGCCCCTCATTTTTAAAAAGAACTTTGTTTATCCCTATGTAAAGAGACTTCTTTAAAGAATATGTATACTGTCACTCATATTTTCAGGTTTGTTCACAAACCACTTTGGTACCACCCTTTTTATCTTTTAATATTTAGAAAATTGGTGTAATTCAACATTTTAGGTAAGGCAAAATATCATTATTTCTGCAGAGTTCATGAGAAAAGCAATGTGAATGAAACATAAAGATAATTTAATATTTTAAAAGAAAGAAATTTCTTAAAATAGTCAAAATGTCCTAGTTTTTTGTATCTGGAGGTATGCAGATTAAAGAGAATGCTTCTAAATCAGTATTTTTTTGGTGGGGCTTAATTCTATTGGCATCTGGTCAGGACCATTCTTGTTTTCCTACTCCTAACATCTCCAAACCCCTCAGAAGGTTGGTATACTCTTCCTAAGAGCCATTGTTTAATGT